GGGCAGAAGTGTCACATGTTATCACAACAAAAATACAGAGAGCTCTGATAATTGTAATAAACATACAGATCGACTACGGCATTTCAAACATTGATCGCATGACTAGCCCTCGCATCCGCGAGAGTCTTGCCAGTAGTTGATTAGGGCGCGTTGCCACCATGTGTGAGCCAGAAGTGCTATTAAATGACATTTTAGGGTCCGCCCGGCATGGCGGGGCGTCCACAGTGGGATTACCGTAGTGACCTCTACTGTAGGTCGGGGGGTGGGGAGGAGACATACAATAGGTGGACAGGGGGTTTGAGGACGGAAGGGAGCAGAGGGGGGGGGGACAAGCTAGGATTGTGACCTCTTTCCTCAGGAGGCCATGATGTTTTGGTATTCGGCCGTTGCGGTGAATTCGTCCCAGTAAAACCAATTGGTGGCAAATTTGGCGGAGGTACCTCTAATGGAGCTAGTCAGGTCCTCCATGGTTCTGATGTCATACACTTTGGTAAACCAGAGCCGTATCGAAGGTGGGGTCTCCTGTTTCCATAGGATAGGGACACATGCGCGTGCCGCATTCAGCAAGTGTACCAGCACTGACCTGGAATACCCCTTCAGTGGGAATGAGTTATGGTGGAGGAGTAAGAACGCTGGGTCCTCTGGGATGTGGTGGTCTGTAAACTTCTGGGCTATCTGCCGGACCCGTGACCAAAAAGGTGTTAGTCTTGGGCAGGTCCAGAAAATATGGAGCATGTCTGCGGGAGAGGAGGTGCACCGCCAACACACATCTGGTACCTCATTGTACATCAGGTGAAGTCTGCGCGGAGTTCTGTACCAGCGGGTCAAGATTTTATAGCCCGATTCCTGCTATTTGTTGCATATGGACGACTTCAGGGAGAGCCTCAAGAGTTTAGCCCTGTCCTTGTGAGAAAACTGGGTCCCCAGCTCCCTCTCCCACTGCCCAAAAAAGGACAATGGGGAATCCAGGTCCGCCTCTATCACCAATTGATAACAGATGGACAGTGTCTTAGCCAGTGGTCCCGTGTCGGTACAGGCGCGTTCGTAGTCCGGGCATAACTGGTAGGTGCAGGTAGTGTGGCGAGGAAGTGGGAAAGCTGGAGCTGTCTCCAAAAGCCCGGGTCTCCGAGCTCCATGTCAGACATCAGGCCTCGCAGGGACTGCCATTGTGAGCCCTGGAGAAGGTGCATCGCCCGAAACCGTCCCAAGTTCACAAGACGGCGCAATAACCCGTCTTCCGGACCGGGAGGGAACTCTGGGTTGCCAAGGATCGGGTACACAGGAGATGGAGATGGGGATAGATACTTAACCCTGAACGCCGCCTGGGCCACCTGCCAAGTGGTGCCCACCGTCGGGTGGGTGCGCAGTTGTGTGGGCATTGCCGTCCCACACCAGGGAAGGGCAAGAAGAGGGATTGAGGTGATGGACTGCTCCAGTGATACCCAGGGTTTGGTCACCCCATGTCTGCACCAGTCCACGACTCGTGTCAGGTGGGAAGCCATGTAGTACAGGTAGAGGTCGGGAAGGCCCAGACCTCCCTCCCGGAAGTCATCCAATGCGTTCAGAACACGCTCAATGAACGTAAGCTGTCCCTGATGAGGCACATAGATGGTAGCCAGGGTGACCCGTTGGGAGCCGATCATCCCCTTCACCATCAGCAGTCGCCCCTCCTCACCCGCAGACACCTCGAGTAATTGCCACGGTACCGACCCAGAGATCAGCACACTCACTCCCTTGGATTTCTTACCTGGCGAGTAGCTATGGTACACAGCTGAATAGCGACGGTCGCGGAGCAGAGGGGTCCGCCCCTCTGCAAAGTGGGTCTCTTGGAGGAAGGCCACCTGAACTCTCTGGCGGTGTAGGTCATTGAGATTCCCAATGGCCTGGAAGGCACTCTTGGGACCAACTAGTGGGGGTAGCGAATCTACACCTAGGCGGAGCGGTGCTCCGTGGATACCTCGTGGAAGTATATTCAAAACAACATTTCAAACAACCTGCATAACAACATTAATTGCATGTAACATGACCACCTAACATGGCAGTTGACCGACCCTGTGTCATGGAGCCCCCAGGGCCCGGTGTAGGTCCCGGAGGGGGTGGCAATTCAGACCCGAACCCCCTGGTACCAGTACACACTGGAGCCAGTGGCAAGCGCTCGGGGTTCCGGGCGTGCAACCCTTCCCGGGCATCGCGGAGCCGCCGCACGGCTCCCCGACAGCGGGTAGACCTAGAAGGCATCGCAGACAGGGGAAGAGCCCCCCTGACATGTAATAAAAAACAAATCTTCTGAAAGGGGGACTCAAGGCAAAACCCAACTCCATATCTCAACGAACCCCCAACTCACTACTCGGGAGGTAGAAGCGTCCCCGGGGGTGACTGATCCCACGGGTAGGCCGTAAACGGAATGTAAACAGGTCGGGCCCGCGGCTCCCTTGGCAAAAAAAAGAGAAGGGAAGGAGGAAAATGTGGTAGGCCACTGCGGTCCGGAGGCGCCTCTCAAGATGTACAATTCAGCCGGACACAGACAGTCTCCTAGGGATGGGATGTGACTCCACGAGTCAGTAGTGGTCGTAAGTCCCGTGTGTCGCTTCCGGTATCCCTATGTCAATGGTGTGTAACTGGCCTGAGTCCAGGCCATAGGCTGGATCGGTTGGTAGGCTCGGGCAGGGGTGAGAGAGCATAAAAATGGAGATGAAAAGAGGGGCAGAGTCTCACCATGTCTACGGTTCCGCAGCTTCTACGACCTCATCAGGTGTGAGCGCAGGCCGGTCCCGGGCGGGGGAACGACGCACCCGTCTGGCCCTGCGGGGCTTCGGTGTTGCGGCCTGGTCATCTGGGAAGTAGGCCAGCCAGTCGGGAAGGTGTAGGGCCGGTATGCCCAGGAACTCACACAGGGCCGGTACATCCGCCTTCGTGCGAACTTGGAACGTGGAGCCGTCTTTACGGACATGGAGACGTATGGGGTACCCCCAGCGGTAGATGGCCCCTGCCTGCCGGATTGCATCTAGGAGGGGACGCAGGAGGGCCCGACGTCGGAGGGTGTTCCTGGAGATATCCGGCAAGATCTGGATCTGGGCCCCGTCAAACTCCACGGGTCTTTTCAACCAGGCCTGCCGCAGGATGTCTTCTTTCACTGTGTAGTAGTGCAGGCGGCAAAGAATATCCCGCGGGCGGGAAGGATCTGCAGGTGTAGGGCCAAGGGTGCGGTGGACCCTGTCCAGCAGAATGGAGTCCGGAGTGGCCTCTGGTAGAAGTGAGCCAAAAATGGCCTGTATGGTGGACCGGAGGTCTGCAGGCAGGGTCGCCTCTGGGAGCCCCCGGATCCAGATGTTTTGGCGGCGGTTGCGGTCCTCCATGTCTTCTATCTGCAGCTGCAGGGCCGCGAGGTGAGGGGATGGGCCCGGCGGGGCCTGCTCCAAGCGCTGAACGCGAGCTTCGATCGCCGCACAGGACTCCGTAACCGTGGAAACCTCCGCGGACACCGCCTGAACCTCCTGCCGGACTTTATGTAGGTCTCGCTGTAGTGCGGCCTCCACCCTCATGACCAGGGCCGCAAAGTCCTCCTTAGTGGGCAGATAGCGCAGTAGCGCCAGGAATTCCCGCGGGACATCCGTCGGCGGGTCTCGGGCGGGTATTGATCCACATCCGTGGAGTCGGAGTCGTAGAGCCGCGGCGACCGCAAGCCTGATGGCAACCCCATTCGGGCCGGGGAGAGGGATCGTGTGGAGCCGCGAGGCGAGGCCTGTGGTTCATTCTCTGTCGCCATATTGGATTGGTCGCGGCCGCAGGTCCTGGTTCTCGTTGAGGAGAAATAGTGCTGCAAGGACGGGGTTCCTCCTTGCGAAGGGGGTCCCCCCTCTTTCCTGCGTTTCGACATCGGCAGGTGAGTAAAAAAGGAGTAGGAGAAGTCGTGTTAGGCCGTCTGTAGGTTAGTGGTATCACGGAGCTCTCACGCTATGCAGCCTATTGCGCCATGTGTAGGACACGCCCCCATCTGCTCCAGTTTTGATAAATTCCCCTCAATATGTTTAAGATGGGACTTTTTCTTGAAAGCTGAAGTTAAATACACAGTTACAATACATATAAAGAAACGAGGTACTTGCCAAAGGATTTTCAATTCTGTCTTCCAATCATAAGTGCCCATACACCTTATGAATATCGGCCAATTTTCGTATGCGATCTTGTTTTTGTCCGATATTTGTAAGGTTGATGGGCAGTGTACAACCGCAAACACTGTACAATCGATTGACTTTAGACTAACCAGCAGGTTAGAAAACTTCGGTCGATCGTACAATTTTCGCAAGGTTGGTGACGTTTCTGTACGTCAAAATTTGTACGATTTACACTGCACATGCGCAGACGAAAATACATGCAGTCGATTACCGCAATTCGCCGAGGTGCTCTCTTCTAATTACTGCTGATCCAACCTTGCGATAATTGGGGCAGGATGGGTCAAACGTACTAAAATCGTAAGACGGTTCGATCATCAGACAAAATGTCGTCCGATGATCGCAAGGTGTACGGGCAGCCTTAACCAGCCCTTCCATAAAGCACAGCTGGTCAAGTGATCTGAATTTTCTCTGCTGCAGTTCAGCAATAGACTTAGGACACCTCCCTGTCCTCAGTGATTGGACAGTGAAGGAGCAGAAGCAACACACACCTCTTCTCTCACTGATCTCTCCTTCTATTAACATGTTTCTTTTCGACACACCTGACTGGCTCCTAGTGCTGCCCCTTCCTACTATGCCAGTCTGATTTCTGCTGAACAGGGTATAACAAGAGCCTGGTGCCATATCAAATGTAAGTACTTATACTAGCTGTAGTTAAAAATATGTTTAATTATTTTGAATGAATATATAACTGCATTTTTTGTGTCTTTTTTTATCTGTCTGGAGTTCAGATTTAACTATATTTTTATGAAGTTATACACCGTAATGAGTTACTAATGTGTATTCTTTGTTACTATTACTCAAGTCAAAACTTTCAGTTGAATACATTACCATCAGGTTCATTGCAATATGTTGCTGGATCAGACTGCAAACAGTATAAACGTGCCTGAAAAGGGTAAAAAAAAGACAATATGTAAAAAAAAATAAAAAATTGTAATACTGCTCAGGCACACAAAAAAATGAAAGTACATATACCTTAGTACTGTCATAAAGTTCTGTCGTTCCAGAAGGTGTGGCCATCAGTGTAATCACATCACAGTCAATCGTCTTATCGGGAGATGGAGCAAATGTGTCAGAAATGACGCCTAGGAAATCTGAAAGACCTTTCTTCACTTTTTCTGTGGTTCCCGAAGATCCTTCCACCTGCAGACACAACATTTCCAAATGAAAAGCAGAAGGAAAGCCACATTTTTCCACAATGTGAAACGTCGAGACCTAATCATGTGGAAAGCCACTGTATCATCAATGCCTCAGAGCATATCTATATAGAAGAAATTCATGGACACAGCTCTACATGAGGCAAAGTGATCAAGAAATAGGTGCATACTAACAAAAAGTTTATCATCATCATTATTTATTTTTGTCAGAATTTGTTTCACACTCACCACCAGTTTGTCTTTGACAACAGAAGCCGTGGCAGCAATAGTGCAAGCTGTGTCATGCTGCACAACCCGGGAAAACTCGGACAGATCTCTCTTCATAAACTCCAAAGCCTCTGAAGACTAAGCACACATTAAATTCAGTATGCGTTTCCCAGAAAAACAAAAGAAAAGACACATTTGTCTCAGCTAACATCAGTTAGTTCAACATGACTGGAGAGAAAATGATTGGAAAAAAAAGCTAAAGCTGAAGTTTTGTTTTTTGGGGTATACAGCACCAAACATATTTGTCATGTGTAATGGTGTGTATTCGCTTACTTGCAGCTGATTCTTTCTAATACCTATCCCTCAGTGCCCCCTTCACGGCGGCCAGACTATACACTTAGCAGGTGTCTCCCAGCACAATGCAATGCGTTCTGTCAATAGAGAAGGAGCAGTTGAATGACATAACCTCCACCAAACACATTGCATTGTGGGGTAATAGTAATACAAGCTCTGTGAATGGCAGAGAGCAGCATGCCAGCAGAGCAAATTTGCAGACTAGCAGCAGCGGCTGTTAACTTTCACAGCGCTGGAGGTCAGCCCTTGAGGGCAACATCCTGCAGCTGGGAGGGGAATTTTACAAAGGTTTTGGGATACATACCATTTGTGATGTTGGGGAGCCCACGGAGCACTTGCACAGCGTCTTGAATGAAACAAAAAGCTTTTTATTTTCCACTTCCAGGGCAGCCAAAACGGTAACCCAAAATATACGCTTATTCTCAGCAAACTTAAAAGTAAAAGTCCAAATCTACAGAACAGATAACAGAAAATAAGTGTGTCTCACCGACGTGTTGAAAAGGTCCCAAACCTGGGGAATCCCTTCCCAGGAACACAAGTCCTGCCAGCAAGCCACAGCAAAGCAAGGTACGCACACCTAATCACTTCCTCCTCAACTCCCACACTCCTCTCTGGAGTTGCTGACCCTTTTAGCTGCTTCCTGTGTCAGGAAGGTTAGCCCTCTGGTTCCCTTAAGGGGACCACAGCCCAAATAGTGGCGAAATGTACCTGCCTTCCACCACCCAGCCTTGCCGTCCTCTACACATATCTAATGTGTGGTGCTGTATCCCCAAAAACAAAGACATCAGATTTAACCTATACGTGTGTTGAAAGGAACGTCTCGGGGCGATTGCTTTGCATTAAAGCTAAGACTCCATCCAATACTGTAAGCTGCCACTACCCCACTCCCTTTAGTAATGGTAGTTTTCAGGCAAATTATAACTCTGTCAATATCACACACAAAAAAGTGACATCCCGGAACTAGTACTATGGCTGTGATTCAGTATAGAAGTCACAACATTTTCTAACGGTTTGGTTGAATTAGAAAGGGGGCTGCACCTAATTCATGAAAGCCCTGTGACAGTTCTATTGCTAGTTCCAATGTGTGTGACAAATTCAGGTAGTTCCTATGTGCGACAGTTTTACATTGTATCAAAGCCGGCGAAAAAAAAATTAATAAAGAAATACCGCCATAGTATTACTAAGCACAGCAGAGTTAAATAAGACCTTTTCAATTGGAGAATTGTGTTGCATGTGTAAGTACTGTGTTACATCTTTGAGACAATTCGGCAACAGATTCATATACACCTTACCTGCACTTACATTAATCTGTCGCAAGTTGTGCCATTTGTCGCAGTACCAGGAGACAGATTTCTAATGAGTATCTACGACACTCCTTATGAATTTCACATTCTGTTCTGTAGCTGAATAATGGCTGACAGTATCCAAAGCCAGCATTTTAAGTCTCATGAGCCACAATAGCTTGGCGGCATGGGTACCGACATAAGCAGAATCTTCATTCACTTTACCTGAAGACCGGCAGCACCACTGTTCATTCCCATCATGGCTTCAAGTCAAGTGATTCAGTACCAAGAAGCCACAGGCCCTGCGGCAGCCTATAACAGGGGTAGGTAACTCCGGCCCTCCAGCTGTTGTGGAACTACAAATATCATGAAGCATTGCATGACTCCCAAAGGCATTTTGGGATTTGCAGTTAAAGCACAGCTGGAGGGCCAGTGTTGCATACCCCTGGCATATAGATATGTTCATGTTCACTAATACATACTTGCCTGAGCAAAGTGGACCTAACCTTAAAGTTTATGGTTACTTTAAATCAAACCTGTGGCAATAATTATAATACTAAGCTAACAGCTGTAGCAGATAGCTATCAGCAACTCATCAACCATACGCCCAAGCCCTTGCACAATTGTCACTGACATCACCACCTCCCACTCCAATCAGCTGTTACAGAAGCATATCCCTGCCCCTTTGTGATGTGACGCTGCAGTGGAGGGAATGTTCTGGCTGCAACTGAGTTGGGCATGGGGGAAGTGTCAGTAACAGCTTTGCGCAGGCTTTTGTGAACTCAGGAGAACTGCCCCACATTATCCTACCAGTACCACACAAGGTAGGGTGGGCCCACATAATCTCACACAAGCCTTTCACACAGCAGAAATTGATCTGAGAAGTACAACAAACTTTACATTCATTTACATGTGTTTAGCTGCAGAAAATGGTACCAGTCACACATTTTTTGTGTGTGGAAACGGAGCTGGACAAAGCTGAACATCGAGGTGTGCATTCAGCCACAGGAGAGAATTACATGCTTCCATATGCATTTAGAAGTGAGCGCCAAACACATTTGGATGTCTGTGTGCATGAGGCCTTAAAGTGCATTTGTCAGAACATAGTAACTTATGTAAGTTAGCACTTACCTTGTCTCGTACACTGTTGTAACTCTGCTGTAGCCAGCTTCGCCACCAGCCCCCATCCTCCCTGGTAAGAAAAACATGTGCATAAAGGTTTGTGTTAGTACAGATCATAATGAAAATATATGTAGTTATGGTGGGCTGTCAACTGCCATTATATAAAGAATTAATTCATTTTTTAAGTAGAACTTTTTTTTTTTTTTCGAAGCCCGTGGACGTGCATCAAAACAAACTTCCCCCTGTGAACAAAAAAAGTGCAACCGTGAAATCACAGCACACAAAAACGTGCACAAGGGTGCAAGGTCCTTCAATAGAAGGGACCTACTTTCCCGACCCCCCGGGGCGCAAGGCTCCTGACAGGGGTTGAGACTGTGGCCCACCAACCCGAAGGCCGGTGGACCATTTCCTTCGGGGACCTGCTGAAACAGGTCCCACACAGTACTAGACAGGGGGGATCTCCCGAAGAGAAACCCCCCTCCTGGGTGGGAGGAGACAGAGAACCCCTTAGGAGGCACAGAATCTCCTCCCAGCATCAGGAATATACTGTACAGCCAAAACATTTTTATAGTTTTTGGATAGAGCAGAAAAGAGTAAGCACCTCTGTTGGGTATTTATGGCTGTCTGTTTCTCTGTTAGTGAGATTTCCTTTTACTGTCTGTTCTGGCAACCACTGTCACGGGGACAGGAAGTTAAAGGGAAATCTTACAATAGAGGATACCGACAGAAACAATAGAGGTTCTGATGCTTCCCCACTCTCCTAAAAAGAGTGTATAATGTTGTCTGTGCCCATTTGGAAAAATATAAGTTCACTTCCTTTTTAGGTGGTCAGTGACAACAATAAAAACCTGAAAGAGATGCTAACTTCTGCACCCTAGCCAGAAAAAAGTATTTTGACTGAAGTTAAAATATTAAGCAGACCTTTACTCCTGCTAAGAGTACTATGCTGTTATTTCCAGATGCCTTCATGTCAGTCCACTTTCTTCTAGAGAACCCCAGAAGCCTCAAAATCCATGACACTAGTATGCAAATAGCAACCAGCTGTTGTGTCTAAGACCTGGAGCTGCCCTCTCTTGGTTCACTATTAGCTCATCTCTGTGATGGGATGGGAGACCATACTAACCAGGCATCACCAAGTTCTTGGCCATAGTAACAGGCTTGCTATTTGCATATGAAAGCATCCCAGGTTTTGGAGCCCCAAGGACACTGTAGTGTAAAGCTGAATTGATTTGCAAGTACCCAGAGGTGCCTGCTGTAGCATGTGGGTAGAAGCTTAGTCCACTTACCAGGAGCAAAGGCACAATTACGAAAGGAAATGTTGTGACAGCAATTGCTAACCTCCTTCTGAAAATGCTGGTTGCCTGACAGTGATGCTGGCCATCTAAAGCTAACAATTTCTGATCCAGGAATAAGCATGCTGCAAATAAAGTAAGAAAATATCCAAAATCCTGATGGAAATGCTAGTTCCAGTTGAGTGAATCAAGGCTCCAAAACCATTAGATCAGCAGGTTCCCTTTAATAAAACCCAAGTGTTATTCCAAAATGGCAAAGTCATACTTGTACCTGAAAGCTATAACAGTGTAAACATTTAACAGAACAAGCACTGATCACTATCTTAGGTTATTGTACACAGCTGCTTTCCAGGTTATCTCAGCCCTGGCTGCATCAGACTGCATTCACAATTTTGCTGAGTGCAGTGCAAAGGTGCTCAATGACACATGGTCCTAATCAGATGATTTGCATTACACTCAGAAAAATAGCCAAGTGCACACAGTTGCACCAGTGCCTGTAGGGATCAATGAGCCCAATATGAATCAGATGGATGGGGGCATTCAATGAATTACAGACGAATGCAGCCAGGGCTGAGATCCATCCGAAAAGTCAAATACTGCATTCCCCATTTGTCAAAAATGCTTTCCAATATCAGAAACAAAATACCAATGCTTCAGCTAAAGTGCATGTAAACCCCAACAATGAACCTCACTTATTTGCTCCCTTTTCAACTGTTATATATATACCCTTGGAAGCATTTTCATGTATCTCTTTGATAAGTGCAAAAATATACACTGTTGCTCTTATCAGAATTTATGGGCTGTCCCGTGTCCTCTGCACTCTTCCTGTGTTATCGCAAAGGGTCTGTTTAGCCCTACTAGTTGTTATCTAAATAAATAAACCTCTATGCTGTAGAGAAGGGTAGCCAAACTCAGGCCTTCCAGGTGTGGTGGAACTACAAATCCCATGAGGCATTGCAAGATTCTCACAACCACAGACATGACTCCCAGAGAGAGAGATGCATCATGGGATTTGTAGTTTCACCACAGCTAGAGGGCCGGAGTTTGACTACCCCTCCTGTAGAGATATGAGAATGGGAGTGGTTGAGTACTTCATCAAAAGACACTGGGAGGGCTGACAATGCTCAGTCCACAGAAATCTTTTGTGGTTTCAGCTCACAACAAAGCTTAAGGTCCCCACACACCTTACGATAATCGTGCGATAATCGCGGGAAATCCCGCGATCGTATGATTATCGTAAGGTATGTGGAAGCTGTGCGACCTCTACTACTGTAAGGTCGCACGACTTTAAACTTACGAACATGTTTCAAAACTCGCTGAGCATCGTACGATGTTCGGCGGGTGTGTAGCATGTTTGTGAGATAAAAGCCGGACAGGCCGGTGTGCGCAAGTGCACACTGCCTGTTCGGCATTGCGGTCATCGGAACCCCACCCCTCAGGGGGCGTGGCTTGCGATCATCGCAAGTACGATCTGCCTATGCAAGATAGGCAGATCGTACGTTTTTTTAATTACCTTACAACCATCGCAAGACAAAAGTCTTGCGATGGTTGAAAGGTGTGTGCCCAGCCTTAGAAGCTGAGTGCTTTTTTGGCAAATCAACAGGTATTTTCTGTATCTGCAGGGTCTTTAAAAGGGGAAAAAAAAAACATTTTGCCTTGACATGTGCTTTAAACTAGATTTACAATCTAACTGAATGATATGTAGGGGCCCATTTAGAAAGCAGTAGTATTGCCTTACTGAGGTCAGGCAATACTGCCTTAGTATTGCCTTACTGAGGTTTACCACTGCACCAGTCACAAGCTTTTTCACATCATCATTTACAATGCAGGACCAGCAGTCCTCTAGTGCATGTGGCCCACCCCCATTCCAGAGCATTAGAGAGAAGTCAGCGTTGGCTGCCAGGGAAGCAAGGAATAAGATAAGTATTACTTCTACACTAAATGGGCATATTGCAGTGAAGAATGGGGGGTCACTTGGTCACTTCAAGGGTGTTATTTTGATATCCTAAAGTTCAACTTTAAAGGGCATGCTTTACAAATGTGCACTTCAGTAATGGGGGAATAAAAGCAGCTAGGACGAAGAGAGCCCAGTTACGTGACCTGTCAAAATCAAATGAACAGCCTCTACTCCACAGAGCCCTGACTATTGCATTAAAGGAAAACTATTGGGAAAGTAAAATTTACTCTTTCCAATAGTTCGAGCTGATGTGTCACACCGCAGCTGTCACATGCCGCCTCTATACTGTGGATAGAGAACTGAGTGATCACAAACTGCTGATTGCTCAGCTCAAGGCTTCTCCCTGCAGAGATTTATCCCCCAGTGCTAATTGACAAGCTGGCTCTAGAGAGGCTGAGTCAGATGCCAATCAGGCAGTGGGGTGGATCCGGACAATATTGTGTGGATCTTTCCCGGCCGCAGTGCGGCTCTCAGCTGTCAGCATATAGCGGGAAATAGCCTATTATATGCTGCGTTTGGCTCACAGGACTAGATAAGTAAATGTACTCCTGTGACCCAAAGAAAAGTATAGCCCAAAAAAAAAAGGTTCGGCTATAGTTCTCTTTTAAGCAGAGAGAAGAGCATGGGACTTGAATGCGAAATGCAGGCTTTGCTGTGGAGCAAATACTGTGCTGCGCAGCAGAGGTCTGTATCTATTATCTTATCTGCTATAAATAGGTCCCTCAGTTTACTTAGGGCTAGTTCACACCAGCCCCAGTGTGTTCCGGCATGATATGGTGCCGTTATCCACTGGATTGCATCCCAGCCGGCTCACTGCGTTCTGGGGCAAGAGGGGACGTGACGGTGCATTGAAGTCAATGGCACCGTAGCCATGCCCCCTGGCCGCAGTGTAATCGCCCACACTAGAACAAGCGGCATAGCAATGCCTGTGTTACAGTTTGGTGTGGTCAGAACAAATGCTACGTGCACTATTTTTTCTGACTAGAACGGAGCGCAGGCATTGATGTGCCACGCGTTCCAGCACGGGCAGCCGCACTGCTGCCAGGAGGCGTGGCTATTGACGTCAATGCACCACCACGCCCCAGAACGCAGTGAACCAGCCGGGCCGCGATCCACTGGGGCTGATGTGAACTAGTTCTAAAGAACTGCATTATCATAAGCATTTGCTTTTGTTTACAACTTTGTTAATCCTTTGTGGCATCTCAGAGCTGCTGATCTCCTGTAGCCACTTCCTGATTATATGCATGCACTTCAGTGATGGCTGCAGGGCATTTCTCAGGGTGTGTTTACCGATGATAACAACAACGCATCACAACTGTGTGATGAAATGGCCACAATTGGTAGTCACAATCGCAAGCCCGTGTGACCGGGTAAAAATGCACACGCACAATTGGGACACGGCCAGAGCATTGTCACCTTTAACAAAAAGTGTCTATACATGATGGGATCATCAGGCATTATTTTAATCAAAGATGCAGATTTACAAATAACATAAACATGCTGACATTAGAATTTAGAGGTTAGCTTTTGATATATTTTAAAGCTTACATAAAGGTTGCCTAGCTGCATCTATGGAAAACATAATGTGAGTTCTCCAGCAATCATATCAATGTGTACGGAGTGCAGGCTGATAGAGAGCTGTCTAGGCGTGTATATTCAATACCGAGAGGGGGAAGCCAAGCATAAACAAGGGACTCATTACGACATATGTAACACCCGGACAGGGTAGACATCAGGCGCCGGGGTGACAGTGCTCCATTACGGGTGCAGTAGCTCTGTACACCTTTACTGCTGGAAAACCCGGGTACCGTGAGAACACATCATCCTCTCCACCATCTCTGATCCTAAAACATCACTCTTACCCTTCCGCCATGTTGGCTCCGTGACATCACCAATATTTACTGACCTCTGACCCCGTACTTCCGGCCGTGCCAAAACACCGGAAATAAGTGGGAGGAGCCTAGAGCGTTGTCTTACGTAAGGACCGCGGAAAGCTGAGACTTGTTTATTAGGTGCACGCTCTAGAAGGAAGGGTCGTCGTCGTCGTCATTATTTAGGGGTCCCCAGCCTCCCTATGAATAGCATAGCTGGAAGAAGGTTATGTTTCCCTGTTGGACTGCAATTGTATCTAATTATAATACCCTTAAATGTTCAAAAACAAGCTCTTTCATTGTAGCTGCAAGGATATAATAGTGTGAAAAGGACCTCATGATATCATATGGGTCATTATATTCATGTAAAATGTCCTATACTCATGGCTGTTCCTATAATAAGGCAGCCGGAGGTGGTTGCCTCAGGCAGCATCTCATAGTTACATAGGTTGAAAAAAGACACAAGTCCATCAAGTCCAACCTATAGAGATAGAAAAAAAAAAACCTAAAACAACGCTATGCCCGCAGTTACCCACTGTTGATCGAGAGGAAGGCAAAAAAACCCCTCTAAAGCATGGTTCAACTTGCTTCAATGGGGGGTGGGTTGGCCACAATGTATCTGGTTGCTAAAAGCTCTTAGCAACCGGAGACACTCTGGGTTTCCACTCAGCTCACTGACTTCATCGGTTGCCAGGGAGCTGAGCTGCACGCTCTGGCTGGCATCCTGCTGAGCTCCTGGCAACCAGTGATGTCAGTGAGCTGGGCAGGACCGGATAGAAAAAAGTTGTTCTGTTGAAAGTTCCAACTTGTCGAGAACTCCAATTGGTTATGTTACGTCCGGTGATTTGCCAGTAGGTGATTGAGACCAGGTGACACGTGTGCCAGCCGTTGCGGTGTAAGAATCCCTGTCAAATTCTTGAACTCCCCTCTGTGAGGCTCCACAATCCCAGTCGCGTCCTCCAACCCCTGTAAGTGCGCCTGCACGGCCACCCAACAGAGGAAAAAGGTATTTTACAAACGCTAGCAACACAGCAATAGATAATCAAAACAATGGGAAAAATGGTGTGGCCAGTTGAGGTGCAAAATGTTCTGGAGGGCTTGGCAGCGAAAGGGTTAAAAGTAGTTCCGGAATACACCTGAAATATCTCAACAACATTAATCATGGTTCACACTGAGCTTTTTGTAGCATGTTTTCTGAGAGAACTCATATCTACTGCTTAATGTTGCAGCATATATACAATTTTTTTAAATTGCCTATACACTGAGCAAAAATATTTTTGTGAACCAGGGGTGGCAACCTCAGTACTCCAGCTGTTGTGGAACTACAAGTCCCATGAGACATTGCAAGACTCTTAACAGGCATGGCTCCCAGAGGCACAATCGAATTTTGTAGTTTCACCACAGCTGGAGTGTCAAAGTTGCCTTCCCCTGTTGTAGATTATTCAGACTATTTCATATGTTTCCAAGCATTCCGTTTTTCCCAAAATATTATATGTTTTTAATCCTAATTGAAGGTGTCCATGCATGGGCCTCCATCGACTTTTCAGGCTGATAGTAACCTATGTGGATATGGAAGGTACGAGTACCGGTGCCTATATTCATCTATCATGCACCTTCTTCCAATGCCTCCCACATGAAATGGTCGAGTTTTCATTTACTGAATTTCAGTGATACATCTCAGTATTGTTGTAGACATGAAAATCAGGAATACCATGTTTATATTGTATACATATTTATATTTAATACACAATACTAGTCTGATTGCTTTGTTTTAATTTTAATGAAAACAAACATATTTGTACAATAAAATATGAGATCTCTTGAACAGATATATAGTCACACTAGCATAGAATAGATCTATACACAGCACAAAGCATCACATTTACAAAAAAATAATTACATTGGTATAGAATGAAAAATATAATCTGTCTCTGGGCTATTAACACGGGGTCAAATAATAATTATTTAGACAGTCAGTATATTTACATGAGATTTTCTATATTCAGGTGGAATCCTCCTAAAGGAAGATGAAGCTGGAATGTCTGCAAAATGAAGCAGCCTGATGCCACTTGTCTATCATTTGCTGGTTCTTGGGAATAGTAAATTAGAAGCAGTCCTTGTTAGTGGATGTGAGAGGGGCTGGCATGTGACACAAGGGTACAGAGGTCCTGAAAAATTCTGAGGAGCAGCTTCAGGGATGCGGTGGACTTCTGGTGTCATTAGTCCAATGTAACCACCGACATCTGAAAGTGGCAGTGTGCTCATAACTTGCGGTAGCGGTGCCATAGGTGGCTGATACAAATGACTTGTACAGTCAGGCAGACGGTGAACTCCATAGGCTTTACTAAGCAACTTCCTCATCTCTTCATGTGAGTTGGATAGCATAAGAATATAGTTACGTGCCAGCAGCAGAGTTGAAATCTTAGAGAGCTTACGCACAGAGGGTCCATGAGAGTATGGCATGACTTCTCGGAGACTATCCATGGCTTGGTTCAAGTCATGCATTCTTTGTCGTTCACGACTATTCACCTTCATACGCAGCTCATGCAGGTTCTCCTGATTCTCTCTCCTGTTGGACTTCATCTTTCCCCGGGTTGGCATTCGCTGACTTGCACACAGTTTCTGGAACATTGGCCCAGACTTGAAGTTGAGGCTTTCTCTACTCTCCAGTTCTGGTGAGGAGGACCTGTTAGACTGACAGTCTGAATCCATTGTCAGCAGCGGCTTCTTAGTGAATGCTGAGGAAACTGAGTTCAAGCTGTTTAAGTCAGCAGCAATAATGATTGCAAATGTTCTGTAAGGCTGGATTGTACTTCAGAAAAGATCTTGGCCACCATCCGTCTGGTTGTGCTGGGGTCCTGCAGTGCTTGTGTTATTTATACACAATGCCTGACAATGGATACAAAGAAAGCTCACCAAATTTGGCAGAGAGTTGACCCAATCACGGGAAAGCTCTAATGTCAGCAGTTAACATTTAA